TCCTCCCTCCCAGGAAGCAGCTCATCCATCGCCCATGGAGATATCAGCAAAGGGTCCACAGAGTGGAGGGTCTGGGGGTCTCCCTGGGGTCGGGGTGCGGTATCAGAACTCTTTTCTTCCTTCCTCCACACCCCCACCCCCTGGTTTTCCCCGGGACGATTTGCGCTAATCTCACCGCGGCCCCCTGCCCACTTCCTCCCTGGGGGTCCTGCTTCCACGTGCCCTTGCTGTCTTCTGGCCTCTGTTATTGGGGCGCAGGCGACCCTTTTGGTCCCACCTGAAGGAGCCCAGTGGGGTAAGCATTGTGCTACCACAAGGTTGGCAGTTCAAACCCACCAGCTGCCCCTGGGGGGACAGATGAGGCTTTCTGCTTCCATTAAGAGTCACAGGGCCTCTCTGCCCTGTGGGGTCACCGTGAGCTGGAATGAACTCACGGGTGTGGTTGGTTGGTTGGTTTGTGGGTGGGGTTCTTGGTTTCTGGATTTAAGGAGTGCAGTGTTAATTGTTCACTTCCTAAGCTCATGCCCTGGACCCGGAACCACTAGACCACCAGGGCTCATTGTTTGTCCACAAGGTCATTCAGGATGTCCTGGCGGTCATTCAGGTCATCTGCCAATGGACTGCCTGGAACTGCAAGACCCTCCCAGCAGGGCTGAGCCTGGCACCCAGGGGCCCGCAGTAGATTTACTGAGTAAACGAGGGGACCCCTAAGGAGCACTGCCCTGCTCCTGACCCACCCCCACTTCCCGCAGCCACCTTCTGGGTGAACCCCCAGTTCAAGGTCCGGCTGGAGGAGGTGGACGACGCGGAGGAGGAGTACGGAGGCCGCGAGTCCGGCTGCAGCTTCGTGCTCGCCCTCATGCAGAAGCACCGCCGCCGCGAGCGCCGCTTCGGCCGCGACATGGAAACCATCGGCTTCGCCGTGTATGAGGTGCGCCCCACCCTCGGCCCCCCAAACCGCGGAATCCCACCCCCGGCGCCTGCCCCTTTCCGCCAAGCGTCCACCTGGGGCGCCAGCGGACAGGGCCACTGCTGCCCAGTCCTGGAGAACTGGGACGCAGCATACCTGCTGGGCAGGTGGCCCTACTGGGACTAGCAGCCTGGGACCTTGCCAGGCCTGGGTGGGCAGGGGGACGATGCCACCTCAGGAGGCAGGTGGAAAGAGAGGAAGGGGTTTGCCTTGCAGAAGGGAGGGTTGGAAGGGCCCGTCCTCAGAGCTGGGAGGCTGCTCTTTGGAGGGGGAGCTGACTGAGCCGGTGCTGGGGGTCAGAGTGGGGAGCCAGGCTTTGGCTCGGGTTCAGAAAGAAGTGGGCAGGGGTGGGCTGCCCCAGAGGAGTCCCGAGCTCCCTGTCTTGGAGACATGTAAGCAGAGCTGGCCTCTGGCTGTGGCCAAGAGGGAGGGCCTCCTGCCCTGGGAGAGGTGGGACTTGTGGATCCCGAGTCTATCCTACGTCTCCCACCGTGGGTTCAAGAGAGGGGCAGAAGCTTCTGGAACTCCCTGGCCAGGATAAAGGCGGGTCACGGCTTCCCGAGCACTCCTGGGATGGACCTCTGGTGACTCAGAGCTTTGAGACATTGCTGTTGGGCCCTTAAGGCTGCCCTAAGGATTCCTCTGCCTCAGGGGTCAGACTCAGGGCGTCCCAGAAGTGAAGTGTCACTCAGGCCTGCCGGGGTCCCCTCGCCTGGGGTCTTGGCCCCCCTCATCCCCGGCTGCTCTCAGCTCAGAGCTCAGGACCCCTGCTCAGCCTCTCAGCCTGTGCCCCTTTCTCTGGGACCAGCACAGAAACACTTGCCTTGAGTGGACGGACTCACGGTGACTCCGTGTGTGTGTGTGTGTGTGTGTGTGTGTGTGTGTGTGTGTGTGGTGGT